TCTCGCCTGGGTGACACAGTGAGACTCTGTCTTAAGAAGAAGAAGAACAAAAAGGACGAGGAGGAAGAGGAAGAAGAAGAAGAAAAGGAATAAGAGGAAGAAGTAGAAGGAGGAGGAGAGGGAGGAGAAGAGAAGAAGAAATGTGGACATTCCCATGCGTGGTGACCAAAGGCAGAAGAATCCTCGTCATTTTTTATTTATTTATTTTTTGCTTTTGTGGAAAAACAAATGTAATTCAAGAGACAAGAGAGGGAAAAGGCACAAAAGTGAAGTGAAGATGCCAGCAGTTTCTGCTTGGAGCTGCTTTCCACTGTGCCCTCTTCAGAGACTCAACACCCTCTGCTCCTTCCCTCCCCTATGAATGCTCATGACACCTGGGGCTGGGTTGAGAGTCTTTATTTTCCTTCACTCCTCAGAGCCTCAGACTATCACAGATGCTGGGAGACTTTGATCTGCTGAATCCCGTTCCTCCCAGGAAGCCACTGGGGTCTGCAGAAACACCCCTATAAACTCTGGAGCTCCTCTCCCACTGAGCCGTCCATGAGGTGTCCAAAGGGTCAGTGGGTCAGCTTCCCTGTGTGCATGGTGTGGGGGAGGGGAGCCAGATGTCCCCTTCAACCCCCTTTAGCTCTTGGTGAGCTCTGTAGCTGCAACTAGAAACCAAGTTGATGCTGGGCAGATTAACAAAGGAAAACATGGACCATGGGAATCTTCCCAAGAGTGATGTTCCCAAGATGCTTTTATACTTTCTAGACAAAGAATGACAAATTTGAGAACAAATGAAAACAAAGGGGATCTGGCTGGGGCGGTGAATTTCTGGGAGTCGCAAGGAGATATATAGATAGGAGGGGTTAAACTAGTGGAAAACTGTTACTTTGGGAAGTGCATTTGTTGAGGTCCACTGCAGGTCACAAAGCCCAGTGTCCGGTGATGAAAGCTATTTTCTCATGCTGGTGTGGAGAGGAGTCCCCTCCCAGAAGAATCTTTATGGTTTCTGCCTGCAGGAAGAGACAGGTTGGCTAGCCCTTTCCGAAACTACAATTTCTCCAGTGTTTCTGACTCAAAATATGCAAGATACCAATCCAGCATATTTTGGAAAGGCACGTCATTCACTCCTTCAACAGCCCAAATAGGCAATCATATCCTAGGGTATATGTGGGCTACCCTGGTGATGTCTACAAATCTCAATGTCTAGAAGAGATGGGAACTGTCTGCAGACTTTAATGTAAAAGGAGAGGTGGGCAGGAGAGAGAGATACAGACAGACAGAAAAAGAGAGCAAATAAGAAAAATGAGAGACAGGTAGAAAAGAGAGGGAAAACAGGATGGAGAGAGAGGAAGAGAAGAGAGAAAGAGAAGAAGAAGAAAAAAGAAGAAAGGAGGAATACGGGGAGATGGGGAAGAAAAGAAGGAGAGAGATAGGAGAAAGAAGGAGAGAGAGAGTGGAGAGAGAGAAGAGAATATGAGAAATGCAGTGTGAAACAGAGCGAGAAGAGAGAGGGTAGGAAGGAGGAGAGAGAGAGAGACCAAGGGTAAAAGAGAGAAGAGAGAGAAAAGAAAGAAAGTAAGGAGAGACACGGAAGGAAGACAGGTAGATAAAAGAGAGAGTCAAAGGAAGCGGGGAAAGGAAGAGGGGGTCAAAGTGTATGAGAGAGGAGAGAGAGAAGGAAAGGGCAACAGAGAGAAAGAAAAGGAGAGAGAGAGAGAGAGAGCTCACACAAGCACCTAGGGTAGCTATACTTAAAAAGCCAACAGGCCCAGGACTAGAGGCAGAAAACAAATCCCTGTACTCTATTAGGTACACATATTTTTCTCTTCCCTAAAACGTTATAATTTTTTTCACCCCTGACTCGTAGGAATGTCAGTGAAAAGAGTCAAACTCTGTAAAATATTTGAAGAGATTTATTTGAACAAATATTACAGGAAAGGGGTCCAGGAAACAGACCCCAAATAAGGATTCTTAGATCTGTCACAATAAATAATTCAGGGCAAGTCCACAGAGTAAAGTGAAAGCAAGTTTATTAGGAAAGTAAAGGAACAAAAGAACAGCTACTCCGTAGACAGAGCAGCCCTAAGGGCTGCTGGTGACCATTTTTTATGTTATTTCTTGTTGATATGCTAAACAAGGGGTTGATTATTCCAATCTCCTCTTTTTAGACCATATAGGGTAATTACCTGATGTTGCCAAGGCATTTGCAAAGTGTCATGGCGCTGGTGGGAGTGTAGCAGGGAGGATGATCAGACATCACTCTACTCACCATCTTGAGTATCTCAGTCCCATTCTCACCCAAGGCACCATAGAAACTAGAATCCCTCCTCCCCAAGATGGGTCATAGAAACAAGACCACCTTTTTCCCAAAGCCAGGCGTTAAAACCTAAAATATATGACTCAAATTCCCTCCACCTGCCTTTCCTTGTATAAACTGGCCATAAAGAAATGATCTGAGGGCCAGGCACAGTGGCTTACGCCTGTAATTCCTGCACTTTGGGAGGCTTGGGTAGGAGGATCCCTTGAGTCCACAAGTTCGAGACCAACATGGGACACTTCCTATTTCTTCCATGTAAAACTTTCTGTTCCTCCCCAGTGCAGAACGCACTTCCTGTGTCTCCCCTGTAAAGGACACACTTCCTTCATTCTCCTAAGAGAGATACACTTCCTGTTCCTCCCCTGTGCAGAACACACTTTCTGGTTCTCTTCTGTAAAAAAAAAAAAACAAAAACACACATTTCTTCTTTTTTCCCTATGCAGCCCACATTTCCTGTTTCTCTTGTCTGTGCAGGACACACTTCTTGTGACTCCCTTGTGCAGGAGAAATTTCCTGATTTATCCTCTGTGCAAGATACATGTCCTGTGTCTCTCCTTGCAGGACACACTTCCTATTCCTCCCCCGTGGGACATACCCTTTCTGATATTTCCCTGTGCAGGACAGGACTTCTTGTAACTCTCCTGAGATAGGCACACTTCCTGTTCCTACCCTGTACAAGACACACTTCTTGTGTCTTTCCTGAGAGAGACACTGTTCTTGTTCCACCCCTGTACAGAAACACACTTCTGTGTCTCCCCTTGAAGGATACACTTTCTATTCCTCCTCTGTGCAGAAACTCATTCTTATTTCTCT